GGACGTTTTAGTGGCGATCAGAGAACTGTTATTCGAAAAGCATTAAGAAATAATTCAAGTGACATGTGATAACGGTGCTTATTAAAGGAAGCCAACGCGTCTTTCATTATGTACATCCGAATTCCGAAAACATGAAGCAAAATTGATGATGGGTGGTTCATATATTGTGGTGCATAGAGGTTTGGATGATAAGGGCGTAAAACGATCGAATTCGAAGTCGTCAGTTGCATCTGTCATATCGAGTATCAGCTCCATCTTCGGCTCGCAACAGAGTATCAATCGACCGAAATCGAGAGAAAGGTTTGTTATCAGTGGCATTTGATGATATGATAAGATATTGGATTGTTCACGTCTGTAACGTGCTTATTTTATGGTGTACTGGTGGATGATAAGCTTATCTTTCGCTTGAACCTGAACAATCTACCAGAAATTTGTTCTTTACTTCATTTCTAAAGTGAACTCAATTCGTTGAGCTCACGGGCAGAGGGATACATGCCTAAGCGTTTCCATTAGGCTTGCATGTCGAAATAGAACAATGCGAATGTCATCATCACTTCAAAGTTATTATTTCTTTTCATTCAGCACAAAAACTGTCGCTTCCCTCTCTTTTCTATCAACAACTGTACTTTGATTATCATCGTTAGCTTCCGAACGTTATTTTGCTGAAAAATTGCAAGTGCACGTGAAATTTGGATCGTGCATGAGTTTAATTAGTTTGAGGACTTTTTGAGTGGAATTGTCTACGATCATGCGCAGAACAGTAGTACATGTTCATTGTCAGTTAATTGAGACATTCAGTGTTGAAATTGGTTTGCGGTAGCATTTCACTTTGAATATTTACAAATCGAATGTTTTATTCAGTGATATCGTGTGAAAGTCGTTCATTCAACTCATTGATTGATCGGCATCTTTTAAAGAGCGTATATTTGCATTTGCAAAAGTCTATCAAACTTATTGTAAGTCGGTACAACTTCAGCGTACTTTTCCATCTATAAAATGCATGCTGCTCTCCGCAACGTATTCTTATTTTTCCCTTTGTATTTCTGTTTGTTTTTCGTCCGAAATAAATGCAAACGTCTACTGCGGAAAACTCGACGTTGAGCTGCAGGACGTGTGCACATTGCATGAATCTAAACGAATTTTACGACTGGAATTTTCGAAACACTACAAAAATTCTGTATTTTGCAAACTCTAACAGAATTTCATTAAAAATTTTCGAACAAGCAACGTTCGCGAATAAGTTGAGTACTTATATTCAAGCTTCAAGCTTACTCCCGACTGTCAAATCATTATCAATTACTTTCCTTTCATTTTCATGTCGTTTCTGA